TATTCTATTCTATTCTAATTTTCTAATATCTATTCTATTCTATTCTATTCTATTCTATTCTATTCTATTCTATTCTATTCTATTCTATTCTATTCTATTCTATTCTATTCTATTCTCTATTCTCTAATCTCTATTCTATTCTATTTCTATTTACTCTATTTTCCAATATCTATTCTATTCTATTCTATTCTATTCTATTCTATTCTATTCTATTCTATTCTATTCTATTCTATTCTATTCTATTCTACTCTACTCTACTCTACTCTACTCTACTCTACTCTACTCTACTCTATTCTATTCTATTCTATTCTATTCCTATTCTAGTCTATTTTCCAATATCTATTCTATTCTATTCTATTCTATTCTATTCTATTCTATTCTATTCTATTCTATTCTCTATTCTCTATTCTCTATTCTATTCTATTCTATTCTATTCTATTCTATTCTATTCTATTCTACTCTACCCTACCCTACTCTACTCTATTCTATTCCTCCAAGGTCCCTTCCATCATCATCATCATCATCATCATCATCATCATCATCATCATCATCATCATTATTACTATTATATTATCATTATCATTATTATAAACAATGCATTTTCGTAATAGTTTCAATCAACTGAGTAGAAAAACGGTCATATGTCCCCTTATTCCGGGCCGTCGTCACTTCGAACGGCCACTAAATGAACTGTTGTTAAGTCGAGGACTACCTGTATGGTAGGCAAACTCTGCCCACAGTTTTGCAGTTCGATCCCGGCAGGGCTCAAAGCTGACTCAGCCTTCCACCCTTCCGAGGTCGGTAAAACGAGGACCCAGACTCTTGGGGGATCGTAGGCAAGTCATGCTTCTACCTTGTAAACCACCCAGAGCGTGCTGTCAAGCTCTAAAATGCTGTTGCTATTGCTAATATCGCTCTTGGGAAAATGCAGCCTTTCAATGTTAGTTAATTAATTTTTTAAAAAAAAAAACCCATAAAAGTACCTTATCTCCACCGATTAAAAAAAGGTCGACTGCGGCCATGCTGATGCGTTGCCGTTCGCAGAAGTCGGATAGCACCTCTTTGATGGAGGACCCGGCTCTTACGGGCATGACAGAGGTGGAGCCGTCTGGGAGGGTGACGTGGCAGCATTTGGGGGGCTTCTCTTTCGCCGCGGGGGGTCCCGGTGCTCGGCAGGGCTCGCCCTTTGGAAGAGAAAGCGTTAAGAGTCTGCGGTGGAAACCGAGCGGGGAATTTAAACAAAGTACTTAGCAGTTGTTGTTTTTTAAGCAAATCACAACACATTTAGAACACAAAATCATAAGAGTGAGAAGGGACCTCGGAGGTCTTCTAGTCCAGCCCCCTGCTCAAGCAGGAGACCCAGACCATTTCAGACAAATGGATCTCTAACCTCTCTTTGAAAACCCTCCAGTGTTGGTGTGCACCCACAACTTCTGGAGGCAAGCAGTTCCACTGGTTAATTGTTCTAACTGTCAGGACATTTCTCCTTAGTTCTAGATTACTAAGCTTCTGTGGCGAGCATATTTTTCATCACACTCTTTAAGTTTCATAAGCTTAGATCTCTGCTCTGAAGCCATATGCTCATTGTCCATTTAGGCATTGACTTTGAGAAATCCTGGAGAACCAGAATGACATCCAAGTGACTGGAGGAGACCCACAGAGTTCTGTGTTCAAGACAAGAGAAGAAGGAAGAGTAAGCAAATATCTAGTAAGTTTCTCCTTTGTTCTTGGTTGCTTC